AGCCCCTGCCTCGGGACCCCGCAGGCCGGCGACAGCCTCCCCAGGCAGCCCGACCCCGCGGGGGACCCAGGAGCAGACTCCACGTCATCTGGGGGCCTGGGTCTCTTCATCCCTGCTCCGGGGACACCCGAGTGACTATCTCTCCGGGAGACTGTGTGGAGGGAGATGATGCGTCACTTGGAGCACAGGGGTGCAGAGAGATGTGGGCTCCCGGCTCGGTCGGTGCCCAATCCCAGGTGTCCGGGTGTCCCTCCCACCTGGCTGGGCACCCAGGCCAAGCCTGATGACTGCAGCAAGCTAGGCTCGGGATCTTGGTTACCCCACGCTGTGGTGCCTTAGGTTCCCCTGGGGTCCTGGCGCTGGAGCTTTTTGCAGGCAGAGAGTACAGTGCTGCCTGAGCTAGCTTGAAAATTTGGAGGCTCCCATTCCAGCCCTGGGAAAGCTGCCCTGGATTGATTAACGATTAGGGCACAGGGGAGACACTCCGGGGACACCCAACCCACCCTGGGTTCTTGGAAGGAAAGCAAAGGCAGTTTTACAGGGTACACAGCTGATTTCCTGGTTGGAAGACAACAGTATTGGTCACAAATACTGTGAAATTCACATTACTTTGTTAAGCGAAATTCTGTATCCCTTGCAATTTTTTGTATTTTAATTTTAATTGTACTCTCCTTAAAAAATAAAGGACACTAAGAAAAGGCACCTCAGAGTTACCTGGGGGCTCCCTACAGTGCAGAGCCCAGCCCAACCCCTGATCCTGACAGTTCTATGTCCAGGACGCCCATGTCTAGGGCAGGAGACAGACTGGGGCCTAACATGCAGTTCTGGGCCACTCCAGCAGCGCAGCGTGTGCAGAGTCCAAGCCCACAACTTGAATCAAGACCCTGCCCGTGACTCTGACAGGGGGCCCGGGACCACACTTTGAGAAACGCCCAGAGCTGGGTCCCAGGGCACCTGGGAGATGGGGAACCGCAGATGCACTCGGGCCCCCCATCGGTAAGCGGCAATCCCACCTTTGTATTCTTCTCTGTCAAGCTCATCCCACATCTCAACCATGTGCCACGGGCCCACCTCTGAGCTAGGTGTGGGTGCAGCACCCACTGCATAGACGGGGCCCACGCTCACTGAGGGTAAGGAGCGGAGCAGGGCGCGGAGAGCTGGTGTCCAGCCCGGGCTGTGGGACCACACGGCTGTGCACTGCTGCCTCGAAGACATGGTTGTTCTCTGTTCCAGTTTTCCAACATGCACCGGTACCCCAGGGGACCATCTGGGCAGGCTCCGTGGGGCTGTGTGGTATGCCTGGCCCTGTACACACTGCAAGCTGTACTGCAGATCCTGGGCTCTCTAAGTGCCTTTCTCAGTGCCACCACCAGCCCCAGGGCGCCGTCCGCACACAAACCCCAGAGGGGCAAGGGCCTGGGGTGCCAGGCCATGCTGCTCCTGCCGCTGCCCTGGACAGGCCTGGCAGGGGTGGGCACTCCATAGATACCTGCTCACCAAATGGACTCAGACACCAGTTTTGTCCCAAGCTAATGTGATCAGGCTCCCGGGCTCGGTGACCTCCTTGTCCCTGGGCCATCACCTGAACTGAATCACGCATTCAATAAACACATGCCAGCTGGAAATGGAATTGGATCACACCGTCTCAGGTGAAGCAGGATTTATTTTGGCCACTGTGTCTCTGTCACCCTCGGAACTAGCCCCAGTGGCCAGGACTCCCCTGGTTGTCCTCAGAGGCTCCTTCTCCTCTTTCCTGGCCCAGAGGTCTGAAGCACAGCCCCTGCTCCAGGGCCTGGCGGCTGTGCCACCAAGGAACTGCTGCCTTGATGGCCCAGGCCTGAGGGCAGCAGCAAGGACTGATAAATATCAATTAGCTGGCCAAGACCTCGTGGAACCTCCTGAGGACTCGGGGACCAGGACTGCTGGTCCCCTCCCCTCAATCCAGGAGTCCAGCTTGCCCACGATTTTCTCTGTGCCTCTTTTCTTCTTTCAAGTCTCCCTGTCATCACTCTGACCTCAGTAGTTTATAAGCTCATGAATTCTTTGCTAGCCACTCACTAAGTCTTCTCGTCTTGCTCAGAGCAGGAAAGTAGCATCATTTGTGATTTTTCTTCGGAGGAGTTGGAAATGGGAAAGAATTCTAGGCCTTGAGTCAAGAAGAAGGTGTAGAATGCTCAGAAAAAAACATAGATAACCTTTCCCTTATATGTATTTCAAAAGAACATGGTTTCTCTGGTGCCTGCTGGGATCTGAAGTTGTTCGCATGCATATAACCCAGAAGCAGCCAAGCAGCTCACGGTTTGGCCAGGTTTGCAATGGCCCCGATCTCACACCAAGCGCTGGCTCAGCAGGACTTGGGACGGGGCCCCTGGAACTCTGCATTCTGAGAATCCTGGAACAAGCCGGGCTTGTTAACTCTGACCAAGTGTCTTCCTCGGCAAAGTGGGTTTGGATCAGCGGGTCTCTTTCAGGGCTTCCAAGCCAGTTCTGTAAATGGACGGCTAGCAGACACATCAGACTTTTCAGCCATACTACAGCTGAAGTACTGGGCTACGCCATATAGAAGGCAGCTACAGCCCACACCTAAATGATCAAGCAGGGCTGTGTGCCAATGCAGCTTTCCTGACAAATCAGCTGGTTGGTTAGAGTTGGTCAACATTTGCTTGATTCTGACCGAATCTAATGTTCTTTGAGTCTATTGGACTAGCCATGTGCCTGGGGGCTTGCAAAGGGTCTAAGGTGTGGTCCAGGGAAGACAGGAAGAGAGATTCTGGGGAGATTAGAAGTCAGGATCCTCTCACAAAACAGGTTAGGGTGCCTCCCCAGAATTCCTGTTAGAAATCCCCAAAGCAACAGCTCATGGTCTGTGAACAAAGGGCTCTGCTGCCGCGAGGGGAATTAGGACCTGGAGCGCGTGCTTCTGCCCTCCCACCACTTTCTCCCCCTCTGCAGGACGCAGCCCACTGCGCCATCTTAGAAGCAGAGAGCCATCCGCCCTGCACCCGCCCTGCGGCCTTCCAGCCTCAGGACCCTCGCTGTAAGGCACTCAGGCTGAGGCGCTGTATCACAGCAGCAAGAACAGATGGGACACGGCACGGCACGGAACCACGTACTTCAACGGCCGTGCCTGTGCTCTGAGTGGAAAAATGGGGGGCATAACGGAGTTTGCTGAAGAGGGTGAGGCTGGCTGAATACAGGCCCCAAAGGCGTCCCGGCCTGCTCCCTGGACCTGCTTCCGAGCGGGCAAGACTTCTGTTGCACACACGATGGCTGTAAGAATCTTGAAGAGATGACCCCATGTTAGACAGGGGGCCCCAGATCCTACCCCAGGGATGGGGCCAGGAGGAAGCAGGAAGGCCCCTGAAAAAAGAGGATGTGTGGCCTCAGAGGGCATGAAGAAGGTGGGGCCAAGGGCTCCGCGGCCTCTGGAGCTGGCCAGGCAGGAGATGGACCCACCCCAGTGCCTGCCAAAGGAAGCAGCCCTGCAGCACCTGCACTTCATCCCGGAAGCCTGAGTTCAGATTCTTGGTGTCTAGAACTGTAAACAACTGTTGTTGTTTTACAGGTGTGTTCTGACATTTGATAGCAAGTGCGTGGAACGAGCTTTCTGACTGTAGGGTGGGCTGGGATGCCTCCATCTCTGGGAGATGGAGGAGGCTGTGGGCACTGAGCATGCAGTGGGTGTGGCTGTCATTCCTGCCGTCACCATTTTGTCCCAACGTCCCTCTCTACTGGCTGGAGGTGGCCTGACCTGCCTTTGTCCAGATGGGAGCAAAGCTCCATGAACGGCGCAGCCTCTCCATCACCCACACGGCCCCCACTGCCGCCCTCATTGGTTTTGTCTCTCAGGCTGGAGAAGAGTGAGGTGTCTGACTGTGGTTCAGGGAGCTCATTGTTCTGGGGACGGGGAGGGAAGGAAAAGCCACCGAACTGATGGCGACAACATATGCTGGTTTCTGTAGCAATACTTGTGGTACCCACTGCATCTGTGGGCATCAGCACAGGAGGATGGCCGGGTAAGAGGTGGCCGGGCCGGTTGCCATGGCGATGGCCCTACTGTGTGAGGCCTGTCCTCCCTGGGAGAGGAAGGTGCCGCTCTTCAAGGTGAATGCCCAGAAAGCTCCCGGGACTGTGTTGAAATGCTGATTCTACTTAGGGATTCAGGAGCAGGGCTGTCTCACTGAGACGCCTCCTCCCCTGCTTCTCTCCTCAGCCCTTGCACAAGCTGCTGGCGTGAGACGGCCACTGCAGGGACTGGCATGTGACAGAGGAAGTGCCCCAGGTGGACCACCTGTGACTGGCCGCATCTGCGTCCTGGCCTCTGGGTCTTGTCTGTGTCTGCTTAGCTCCAGCACACCCTGCTCAAGACACCAGCCGCTGGGGACACCGCTTCACCATCGCTGTGCATCTTCCTCCACCCAGGAAAGTCCCACCTGCCTTTCAAGATACTGACCAAATGTCACCTCCTCTAGGCAGCATCCCCAAGATGCCCCCAGCCCTGTTGGCCATGTGTCCCCGCCTCTGCGGCGTCCTGCAGGTGGCGCTGTGCGCAGCGCTGTTTAGATGGGGGTAGAAGCTGGTCTTTGCCACTGTCCCAGACACATGGCTGGAAGTCGGAACCCAAGTGACTGCGCAGGAACTGTTCACGTTTGTGCCCTCTGACCTGCACACAGACACTTGTCACCATCCCACCGGTCATTTCAGGCAAAGGCCGGTCCGTTGCTTCCTCTCCCCATGGCTCGGGAAGGGTCACTGCACCCGGCTCCCTTCCTCTCCTTGCAGGGAAGGCCTGAAGTTTGGTGGATGAACTCTGGGCACAGGGCTGGACACTGGTATGATGGCTGGAGGGTTTCCCACTCTTCTTGGGGGATAGCCATGGGGACTAGCATGAAGGTGACGTAAAGCGATGAAGACAGCAAACAGCACACGTGTGTGGTTGCTCATTTCACTTGTACACACTCAGGAGCTCATGAGAAGCAACCTTGGCTCAAAAACTAGGTTCCAAGCCAGCCCTAGATGCCTTTGAGGGTTCCCCAAAGGCCTCGGGCTCTGGAAAGATGGGGCAAACCAGACGTGGCAGGCTGGGCCAGGCTTTCCCCTGGAGGGTCAGGTCCTCCTGCACCCAAGCCGCCCCTGACACAGCGCTGGCCATGAGATCATAGCCAGGAAGCTTCTGGGCCAGGCAACCTCACATGGGCCTGAGGTCGTTCATGGCTCTTGTATCTGCGGCAATAAGGGCAGACAGGCTACCACCTCAAGAATCCCCTGAACTAACTTTCTTGAAATTCTTGCCAGCTGAACTCCTCTGCATGCCTCAAAGCCTCAGCAGGAGCAGGCCTTGCCCACCTTGGACTTCTCCTCCTGCTGCTGTCCTCTCTTGCAGGGAACTGGCCTCCTTGGTCCTCTTGCACACCCGGGTCCTGCCCTGGGCCTTTGCACTCACTGCCCCTCTGCCTGGCAAGGCCTGGCCTCAGATGTCCTCCTGGATGGCCACCTTCCTTTCTCTATCTCTGCTCAGATGCTGGCTCCCTCAAGAAGCCGTCCCTGACTGCACCACCTGAATCAGCCGCTCCTTTATGCCTGGTCCGTCACAATCCACCTCCTTGGGTGGAAGGGAGGTCGTGGAGGGCAGGCAGGTCTGCTGGGCTGCGCAGAGGCTCTGAGCTCTCCGAACGGTGGGGTAACACAAGCACAGCTCGGCAGCAGTTCTGCTCCTGGTGACTGTCCTCAGCCAGCTCCAGGCCAAGTACAGAAAGCTCCACACAGGCTCGGAGGCTGCTGGCAAGGGGATGATGGGGTCTACAAGAGGCTGCGGCCAGGGCAGCCCAGAGAGGGAGGGAGACACTTCAAGAACACAGTGCAGGCAGCAGAGGTCACTGCGGAGAGGCAGGTGACATGGGGGAGTCCCTGTAATGGGCTCCTGGTATGGCGAGTGCTGCTGCTCCCGAGGACTATCTCCTCGGGGAAGGGCCTTAGAGCCTGGTCCTCATGTCCAGCCTAGCAGGATTAGCGGCGCCCCAGCAGACTTTCCAGGGCAGCGCCAACTGCAAGAAGCGTCCTTGTCCTCCATGGCCCCTGTGTGCCCATCTGAACGAGTTTTGTCCACTGGCTTGAGGCACATAGCGGCCAGCAGGACGGCAGGCAGGAGAGAACAGGCAGAAGCTGGGGCGCGGCGCCAAGAACACGCTCCAGGACCGAGGCAGGACCTGTGGGAGGACAGCGGGACAGCGGGTGGTGGACGCGGAAGCACCTGCTTCTTGCCTTTCCCACCCCCGGCTGCCCAAGCTGGGCTGCCTCGGAGGGTGGATGCTGGGGAAGGCAGCCATAGAAGGGTGTGCCAGCCGGGCCGCGTGAACTGGGCACTGAGAAGATGCGCGCTTCTTGCTGCTAGCACCCTGGTTACCTTCCTGGCTGGCCTGGACCGGCCAGCGAGTCCTGCCTGATGCCTCACGCACCTGGGACAGTGCAGCAGGGCTTCTCATCCACGGCAGAAGCACATGGCAGATCACAAAGGGAGAATCGACTCAGGAAAAGCCAAACACCAGATAATCCTTCCGGACCCTCGGAGCCTTCTTGCTATGGACCTGGCCAAGAGTAAGGTTGATGCTGCTCTGACAGTGGTGATGGGGGCGCCTCTTGGAGTCCCCGGGGCGGCCCCAGCTCCACATGCCACTCCTGCCATCCTGGCATGATGCTGGGTGACTCTCAGGGCCTTCCTGGACTCGGTCTCTCCTCCCCCAGCGTCACAGGGACCCAGGGACCAGGGCGCCTGGTTCATTCACTTCAGAAGGCGGCTCCGGGCTGGGAGGCCTGGCGCCGTGGCAGAGGTCAGTGCCCTGTGCCTTCACCCCTCCACCCCGAACATGCCACACTCAGGGCATGTCACACCACCTCAGGTGGGCTAGGAAGAGCAGCATCTTGCAAACTGGAAGCAGCACAAACAACCAGCAGCCCGGGAACCTTTAGGTAACTGCAGTGCATGAAAGGGTGGAGTATTGTGCAGTCATTAAAAACGACGAGTTGGGGGTGCGCAGCTGGGCTGGAGATGCTAGTGGTACATTATTAAGTGAAATAAAACAGAACTATAAAGTGATCTACATGCCGTACAGTGAATTTAAAAGCTTTCCCTATCTATTAGAGAAGGCAAGAAAATGTACTAAACGCTCATTTTGGCTACCTCTTGGTAAGCAGAATGGTGGTCAATTTTAATTTGCCTTTCTCTTTTTTGTTTTCTATATTTTCCAGAATTAGAAAAGGAACACACACACACACACACACACACACACACACACACACATTTCCAGGAAACAGAGACCACAGCAATATGAAATCTGAATTTGTAACACCTCATGTTCTAGTTGCGGAGATACCCAGAGAAAAATGGAAGGAGGGAGGAGGACGCAGAATCCCTAAAACCCATGGACACTGGCCGGCTACAGCTCTCCCGCTGCGCTGGAGGGGATGGGGGGTGGGGCTAGCGAGTCCCGATTCTCACTCGGGTTATTTTTCTATCTTCCTCCTGAGTGTTAATTCGTTCTGGGTGTCAAAGCAGAAGCCTGGCAGAGGGGGCTACTGGCTGCAGGCCACAGAGGGCACCCATGCCGAGGACCCCAGGTGGGGAAGGGCCAGGGGTGCTTGTTCTTGGGCTCCTGGGAACCTCTTGAGGGCTCCCTCATCACTCCCTGTCTGGGCACTCTCCGGGTGCCAGCCCTGAAGAGTAGCTGGGGACAGTGTGAGGTGCTGGTATGCAGTCTCTGCCTGGGAGAGCTCACAGCCATCAGTGAAAACATGGGGAGCAGGCGTAGACCACAGGGCCAGGCTCCGGCACCCAGCCCAGCCTGTGACTCAACTCCGTGGCCTGGAAGCCCTGGGCCCTGACCTCACCCTGCATGTGTGGGGAGGCAGCAGAGGACAGGAGGAGGATGCCTGTGGGGCTTCCGAGGGGCCCTCGCAGAAGGCTGCATAGCTGTCCCAGGGTCTGCCCTGGCCCAACCTCCAGCCCCTTCTCGGTGACACTGCAGGCCCGTCCTCCGGCAGGCTCCTGACACCCGAGGCCCAGCACCTGCAGCTAGTGGGTGGGGAGGCTCAAGGCAGCGTTGCAGCATTGGGTCAGATCACACCTGCACGTGGCCAGCCCACTCAGCTGACCGGCGACCCCAGCAAAGTAAGATTTAAAAGGTGGGCTCTGTAGGTGTGTGCTCTGGGAAGCTGAGGCAGGAGGACTGAAAGTTAGATGAGGTCTGGGGTTAGTTCTGGGGCTTTACTGTACCATGCAGAGACTCCAGTTAATAATTATGCATTATATACTTCAAAACTGCCAAAAGAGAGGATTTTAGGTTTTCTTACCACAAAAAATGGCAACTATTTGAGATCACGGCCATACTAATTACTAGGAACAGACCCATGTAACATGCCCTCAGATGTGTTCAGTTATCATCTGTCCATTAAAGCAGAGGCCAGAGCAGAGTCCCTGTTACCCACGCGGCCCCTCGGGAGGCCAGCCGTTTCTCACTGGTTTTCGCTGCTACCTATCAGAGGTGCTGGCTTGATTACTGTCACATGTTGAGGCCTCAGGCAAGGAAAAAGCTAGAAAGAAAAAGGTAGAATGGACGCGGACCTAAGCATGGAAGCTCCTGGGCGGGAGGGGTCCTGTGGCCAGCGTGGCCAGCGGCCTCCCTGTCCACAGCCGTGGCCTGGGGCTGGAGGGGTACCCTGGATGCAGCTTCCAGGCTCTGCACCCCAGCTCTGCCCTGCCTGGATATGGAGCCCTTTCCAGGCCTGAGGTTCATGTCAGCAGGACAGGGACTGGGACAGGGACAGGGACAATAAACAGGACAGGGCCGCCAACAGATTCTGGAGACCCCTGGAACGAGTGTGTGGCCAGGACATACAGCAAGAAGGCTGTGCTGGGAGAGACTCAGGCAGGGCGACCGAGGGGACCATGGTATAGGTCCCTGGGGTGCCGCTTCTGGCCTCTGCGAGGTCCCCTTGCTCCTACGAGGGCCCTTCCTGCCTGGGACGGCTGCTGTGGCCCCAGAAGTTTCTGCAGTGGCAGAACTGGCTGTCCCCACACTGCCCCACAGTGTTGCTCTGAAGCGTGTAATAAGAGCTGGGGACTGGGGTCCTCTATGTGCCTCTGAGTGACGGCCCAGGCCCAGGAAGGTCTAGTTTCGGGTCTCTGGTCCAAACGTAAGATTTCCTCTCCTTTCCCTCACGATGCGGGGAGGTGGCCTTGCACAGGAGCCGCTGGAGGCTGCCAGCAAGCTAGCACCTGGGGTGGAGACCTGTACACTGGGACGGTGCTGTCCTCAGGTGCCACCCTGCTTAGCCCTGGGCTGGGACGAGGCTGACCAGCCCTGCACCCTATGGGCTGAGAACAGCACCAAGCAGGGCCAGCTCCAGGTGACCACTGACAGCACCTGCCATCCTTTCCTGTCCCCAACATGGAAGAGGACGAGGCCACCTTGGCAGGAGGACGGTGATCATTACATGGGACGCTCCGAGCTGGCCCAGGGTGGCTCCAAGCCTGAGTACCTGGGTCTCTTGCCTGCAGACCACAGAGGACTGAGATGGGGACAGTCTGGTGGCAGCTGCTTTGGTTTTGGTTCTTTGAGGCAGCCTCACTGTGTAGTTTAGTCCAGACTTGAACTCATGTGGCCTTGTCCCAGCCTCCCGAGTCCTGGGGCTCTAGTTCTGTCCTGTCCTGTCCTGTCCTGTCCTGTCCTGTCCTGTCCTGTCCTGTCCTGTCCTGTTGGGCCCAGCTTTAGCTTCCCAGCTGGGAAATGGGAGGAGGCAGGGCTGCCAAAGCCAGAGAAGTGCTGAGAGGACCGGCTCGGGTCACACGTCTCCTGCAGGGCAGGGCTCGGGTCACAGGCACCAGCCTCAGGGAGAGGCTGCTCTGGACCAGGGTGGACGGCAGCCAGGTGACGGCACACCCAGCGGTCAGACCTGCGCAGTTCAGTTCTACGGCGGAGTGGTCGCTGAGCGCTTACTGTGCAGCCCACTGCTCCCGGGCACCACTGGCGCTGCCTCAGATGGCAGGCGGGGATCCCAGGGAAGCAGCTGCTGGGCAGATCCCGAGGGCGAGCCCGACCCTGCTCCACGGGGAGTGTGTTCTGAGGAGGGGCCTGGAACGCTGCCTCGTGAGCCCTCTGCGAGTGTGCCGATCCTGGCCCTGCCTCTGGCCCTCCTGCCCTCCTGCCCCTTAGTCTGTGCAGGAAGCACTGAGCTTTGACTTTAAATTCCTTCTCCAGTGACAGAGCTGTTGAAAATTACACCTTTGAGGGTGCTCTGGAAAGCAGAGCCTCAAAGCTGGGGGTGGGGGAGGTCTGGTCCCTGCAACTGGACACGACCCCAACCCTTCTGCACCAGTGTAGAAGCCGAGATCGGAGGATGCACCTCACAGAGGCCCGCGCCCGTGCTCGCGTACACGGCCTAGGTATGAGTCTTCAGGTGCTTGTGTCCTTCACACCTTATTTAATCAGTGTATTCATCTCCTGCTCTGTAGGCAGGCCTGGGATTGGGGAGAGTATCTAATGGATTCAAGATGCCACCCCTCCTCAGGGCCCTCGGCGGGGGACAGCAGGACAGCTCAGGACCCGGAGCCCCAGGCCGGGGCTTGCTCCAGGGGTTCACACTGCAGTGTCCACCTTGGGCTCTGTGGCCACGTGAGCTCCTCACCTCTGGGTTGGTTTGAGTCACTGGAAAAAAGCTTGTGAATTATCATTCATCACCTCCTGTCCTGTAAACACAGCCCTACGACATCTGGGTGCTCGGTTAATTTAAATATTCAACTCTAGTTCCGGTTTTTGGAAATGAGGGTTACGACCCCCGTGATAGCCCGCGACTGTTCTGTGGTCAGGCCCAAATCGTACTTTCCAGGCTGCGGACTTTGAAGTCCCCGTGACAGCGAATCCACTGCCACAGCAAAAACAGCTGAGAGGAATTGGTACACAAAGGGTCAGGCTGCGTGCTGCTGCCCACTAACCTGGGAAAGTGGGTGAGAGCCCAGGGCATCCCTGCTCATCTCTGCACCCTGCCACAGGCTGTCACCGGCACCTGGAACTGTGGGGACGAAGACAACTCGTACCCTGGGCAGCTGCAGCAAGCCATGCCTCACACAAGCTGGTCATACTTTCAGACTTCGTTTTGCAGCTGGTTATATTGGGTGGGCGCCCCCCCCCCCCTGCTAAACAGACCAACCTGGCAGTGACAAGGACAAGCAGCTTCCCAGGCTGCCTGCAGCCCTGGAGTCCCGCATTGGAGGATTCTGGTACAGGCTGCCCCCCGGCAGACTCCTCCTGCCCCTGGCCCCCCTCCAAGGACAGGCGTGTGTGTCACTGAAGCATGTGGCTCTCAGGGTAGCGGTGACAGAAGTTTTCCAAGAGTGTCTGACTACAGCAGCGGTGGTGTGCACCCCAAATCTGTGCCAGTCTGGGGCTGGAGCAGCCCTGGGGTGTGGGCGGAGCACTGTGGCCAGGAAGCCTGGTCCTGGCTTAAATCGTACCAAAGCCAGGCTCCACATTTACTCTCTCAGGTCTGCCCCGGGACAGGCAGCCCTGCAGGACAGCAGCAGAAGCTGCTTTAACAGGAGTCTTTGAAACAGTCTCCCCAACACCTGGAGCTGCTATTTGTGATTTTCAGTGGTTCCCAGGCGGGATAGAGACAGGAAGAGCTGCCCCACAGGGCCCGGCTTGGTAGCCTGGTTCATGGAGCAGGGTTCGGAGGACACGTCCTGTTCCTGTGTCCCCAGGGGCATTCCCAGGGGACAAGGACAGAGCAGGACAGGACCCTCACCCTGGGCCTTTTGCAGAGCCCTGGCTGCTCTGTGGCGGATGTCACGGCTCAACCTCACTTGTTCCCTGGTTGCCACACCTGTCACCAATGAAGAGCGACAGGACCAGGATCCTGGGGGAGCATGGGTGTCCACCCGGGAGGGGACTAGGTGCCGTTCACCTCTGGTCCTGCTCTGCTTGCTGGACAGACCCAGGCTCTTCAAGGCTGATTCTTCCATGGCTCAGACTGCTTTGTTCCGCACCACCAGCTCCTCTGACAGCGGGTGACAGGCGATCAGTGGCATGGTCACGTCATGGGTGACAGCACGCCTACGAGCTCATCCTGCATGGCCCCATCGGTTGAGGCCGTCTCTGTAGGGTGAGTTCTGGGATCTTGGTGTGGCGGGGGCAGATGCAGGGTCTCTTCGGTCTCTGTCTTTCCTGGTAGGAGCTGCCCAGAGCCCCCTCCTGGGCACCACTGCTCCCGATGGCAACCACACTGGTTTCCCCACTTGGGGCAGAAAGTGATGGGATATCCCCGCAGCCAGTGACACCCCGGAACCACTGACATTTCCAGGAGTGATCATGTGGGGGAGGGGACGGTGCTCCCAGCTCTGGTGACCTCCCCATCCTCATGAAGGTCATTTCGCGTCTGGGAAATAGCTTCATCCTAAATCCTACAAAACTTCTCTCAGTGATTATTGCTGTTTTTAGACAGTGTCTCACTATGGAGACAAGGCTGCCCCTGAAGTCACGATGTAGCCCAGGCTGGCCTCAAACTTGCAGCGACCCTCCTGCCTCAGTTTCCAGAGTGCTGGCTGGGATTACAGAAGTGCATGCCACCACACTCTGCTCTGGGTATTTTCTTTAGGATCAAAATGTTTTCAGCACCTGATGAGTTTTAGAAGCTCAAGAAATAGCAGACAACAAACCACGGTTGCAACTTGCTGCTAGGAGCCCAGCTGAGAGCCATGCTCAAGTCCCCTGAGGCCCTGAGTCCGGCCCAGTGGCTCTGCACAGGCCCGAGGGGAGCAGAGCAGCCTGACAGCCATCTGCTCAGTCACAGACCCAGGCTCGGAGGAGTGGGAAGGAGGAGGCCGGGCGCTCCCTATGCTCCTCAAAGCCCAGCGCATCCCTCAGGCCGGGAGCCCTCATGGGTGGCTGGGAATTTCCAGCTGCTTCAAGCTGGGACCAGATGCAGAACTAGATGAGGAAGGGAAAGGGGTTTGTGTGCATGATCGCAGGCGGGGGGCCCTCCTTACAAGCCCTCTGTCCCAGCAGTGCTGGCCCCATGACCCCAGGAGGACAGTACCTGAGAGGACACTGGGCTGTCACGCAGGGAGACAGGAGCAGAGGCTGCACTGCAGCCACAGAAAGGGTGGAGAGGTAGAGGGAACCAAGGTGACACCTGAGCAGGATGTGTGGGCACAGGGAGCCCTGCTTTCTGAGGAGGGTGCTGGTTTAGGGACTGGGAGAAGGAGGTCTGGTTTAGTTTGGGGTGGCTTAGCCTGAGTGCCAGGACAGTGAGGCTCTGACCTTGCACTGGGGGGCTGCGGCCCACAGGCTCACGGGTCCTGGTGCCCAGGGCACAGTGCACACTGGTTGCCTGCGGAAGTTCCAATCACTGTGCGTGGGAGGAACAGATGCCGCAAGGATACTGCCAGCCTGGGTATGAGAGGGGATGGGACAGGCGGGCAGGGCAGTGGCTGGGGAGGCTCGGTGGTACCTGGCGTTGCCTAGGACTGGGAAGACTAGAGGGAGGCTGGCCAGTCGGAGGGCTGAGGGTCCCGTGGGGCACAGGTCCAGGGGCTTTTGCCTTCTCTCCGTGTGAGTCATGCACTTTGCACAAGGCGCTTCCTGCTCAGCCTAGACTTGTGAACTTGAGACCGACTGAGGCTCTGCCACTAACTTGGGGCTCTTAGAAGACAAGACGCGCCCCACCTCATCCCCGGGCAGGTGCGCCACCCACGGCCCTGCGTGTAGAGTCCAGAGTCTCCACTTTGCAAGCATCCCAGGCAGGTTCTGCCCATCCCAGTGGAAGCAGAGCAGCCCGGGCCTCAGAACTGGGAATGGCGGAACGGGGGAGGTCTTCCAAGCCCAGCTGAGGCTGCCACTGCTTGGGCAACTGTGCTTCCCAGCACCTCTAGGAAGAGTTTCACCCTGTAGTGCAGATGGAGAAGCTGAGGCACGGACAGGTCACGGCACTTGTGCAGGGACCCTAGGCCTTCATGAGAGGACTGGGCTGATGGCCAGCTCTCCTGCCTGCTCTCTGCAGCAACCGGAGGTCACTCACACAGTGGCCATGTGGACGCTGTGGAGGGGGAACCAGTGAGCCTGGGGCTGAAGGACTGGCATGGAGACCCTTGTGCAGCTGCCTCTCCTGAAGGCTGGTAGCCCCTAAGGATGGGACATACCCTGCCCAAGGACATGGTGCCCCCCGGCTGCCATCTGTGCAAGGAAGTTGCAGGGTTCTGCAGGTCCCCGCTCCTCCGATCCCAACCTGGAGCAGCCTCTGCAGACCCACTGACCCGGACAACCCTGCACCGCCTGGGGGCCCCGGGCAGAGGCTGTGGGCCGGGCACTTACCTCTCCACCTGCAGGCTGACCTTGGATGGCTCCACGTTGGGGTTCTCCCACTCCATCTGTGGGCAGTGCATGAAGTAGCAGAGTGTGTACAGCGCCTCGGGCTCCCAGTAGAGCGCGCCCTGCCGGTGGTGCAGGGGTGTGCCGTTGCCGTGCTGCTTGGCATGCAGCGGCTGCAGGTGGTGCATGGCGCGGGACACCAGGTCACCTGTGGGCAGAGGGAGACATCAGGTGCTGCGGAGGACGCTGCCCCGGAGCCGTGCTGGATGATCTCCAAGAAGACCAAGGTTATCGTCATTCGCGGGGCAGGGGAGAGCTTGTGGCCACTTGTGGTGTGCTCCCCTGGCCTCTGGACCTGTCCTCCTGCCTGTGTCTCTGCCTCTGCTGCCATGGGTGGGCTGGCCTGCTTCCCTGCAGCACAGGACGGCTACTCCCGCTTGCTGTGCCTTGAACGTCTCCCCTATCGGGACACTCCATCCCGGGCCACCTTGTCCCTACACGGTGGTCACAGGCTCTTTCCTCTCGAAGGCACATGGGGTGCCACCTGAGAAGGTCCTATGCCCCACTGGCCTCCCACACCGTGGCAAAGTCTGGTGTGTGGCTTGCTACCCACAGGCACACTCTGGGGAGGCAGCTGGACGGGCCATGCAACAGAGGAGGAGGCAGAGGCTCAGTGACGACTCTAGGTCACCCCGCATGAGCCGCAGAGCCGCCCCGGGCCAGGCTCTGGGGCAGCCCACTCAGGAGGTCTGGGCTTCTTCCCACTCCTCAGAGTACTGGCAGAGCTCAGGGCGCGTGCTGCGTGCAGATGGCCCCCAACGCCTACGTGGCCACGGTGGGGGCCAAAAGGGGTGGCCGGATCTAGAGTGTGTGGCGCTGCGATCCAGGGTGTGTGGTTACTAGATCCATCTGCTGATCGGGTTGGCCCAGTTCTGCTAGGAATAAGGCTGCCCACCCTGGGTGCGAGTGCTGCCTGCCCAAGGGCTGGTAGCCTGGCTAAAGTATAAGGGACAGAAAGAGGCTCGCCCGCCTTTGTCCCTGTTGCTTGCTGTCTGCTGCCTGCTCTGCCATGGACTGTCCCCGCCCCCGCCACCATACCTGGGTGCCAGCTGACTATGAACTGCAACATCCGCAGCCCTGAATGCCCCAGCTTGTCCCATGGAGGACCATCTCATGGGCAGGCCCTGGCTTTTCTTATTTAAGATGCTGTTTCCCACATTTGGGTCGTGTGTACACCCCCTTGGGAAGCTCAGCCACAGCACGGCATTGCCGTCATTACTACCTGACTCTCAGTGGGCTCATTTTATTGTATTTAAATGCCTCTATCTACCATGGAAAACTCTATCACCACCACAAGTGGAGGATGAGTGTCACTTGCCACAGACAGAAAGTCACTGTTAAAGTAAATCTGATAGACAGCCTGGCCTGCCATGAACGACGTCAGATGTGTTTCCGCCGGGCAGGTGGGCCTTATGCATCCCTGAACAGACAGCAACTGCACTCTGTTCACTCCATCCCTGACCATTGTGCACAGCACACTCGGGGGCCTGGCCTGAGACATCGCCGACGGCGCGCTGTGCGCGTCCACTTGGCCGGGCCATGGAGCCCGTGGCTGGGTAGGAAACTGGTGTGGATGCTGCTGGGGGTGTTTTTAGAGGGGATCAATCTGGAAGTCAGTGGCTGTGGAGTCAGCGCCCCCTTCCATCGTGTGGGGGCCTCCTGCTGTCACTGGAGTGTCCCTGGAGGGCTTCAGAGAAAGGTCGTGAGGAGGAGGAAGGCGCTCTGTCTCCAGGCTTCAGTGGCAGCTCTTGCTAGACCGTGCGGCCTGCTGCGGTCTGGCGGAGTGCGGCCGGTGTCACCATCACTCGCTCCCCCTCCCCCATTCTTCACTGTCCTGATGAGCCACCCAGTGGGACATGTCACAGGAAGTGTGAGCCCAGGCACACGAAGCAAGAGCACAGAGCCCCTTCTGCACTGGCTCCAAGGTGCTTGGCAAGAGACCGCCCCCCCTGTCCACCTCGGCCCACCCTCGGAGGAGCTGGCGTGCAGATGAGGGGCTTGGAGCTCTTCTCCCGAGAATAGACGCAGCTTTAAGGTCCTCCTCTAGACAGGTTCTCAGCGGCACGCCTGACTCGAGTTGGTAAAGAAAGGCCCTCCCGGGCCTCCTGAGCCCCGGCATCATGAGGCCAGCCAGCCTGGAGTGGGTCCTGGCCTGACACCTGGGCCACCTTGCAGGAGCTGTGCACCCCCTGCAGAGTGTGATGGCCCATCGCACGCACCACTGTGACGACTAGGGGTCCCGGGAGCTGGGACGTCGGCAGTGGGCACCTGTGTCCTCTCGCCCCTCCACCTCCGACTGAGGACCTAGCAACAGGGTGCCATCGGGAAGCAGAGCGGCAGCTCTCTAGGGATGGAGCTCTTCTTGGGCTCTCTGGGCAGACTCCGTTCTGACACGTCAAGCTTCCAGGCTTGTCACAGCAGTACAGGGCAAGAGGATGCAGTGATGAAGATCTGGAAGGGTGCTGCCCACTGGACCCCGAGGCTGAGCCTGGCCCACTCATGAAGCTTGACTGTGAGGCTTCGCCTTATTCAGGGTTTGCAGCTGGGCTGATTTCGCCTCCCAGGGAAATCAGCTGGTGACATTGGGAGACAGTTCTGGCTGACACACCCAGGAGGCTACTATAGTGTCCAGGGCAGAGCTTAGGGATACTGCTAAGCCCCCACAGTGCCCAGGGCAAAGACTCTAGCCCCAGAAGCCCATAGAGCTGCAGCTGAGAAGCCCTGCTGTACGGAGAAGACAGCTGAGGTCAAGGGTGAGCAGTTGGCAGCTGAGGTCCAGCGTCAGCTCTCTCGGAAGTCTGCGTCTCCGCCCGCAGAGACCCAGTCCCTCTCCGAGGCTACATGCAGCCAGCGGGCCAAAGCTGCTTGGAGCCATCCAGCACGGTGCTGTGAAGCTGTTAACAAAAGCTCCAACCCCACGGTGCCGAGTCCGCTTCTGAGAGCTGGTTCCTGCCTCAGAATTCAAAATGCAGCACCATCTCCAAGCCCAAGGATTTACACCCAAGCCTTACTGACAGAATCCAAAACTTGACAAACAAAAATAAGAAGGCTGGGTTAAAGGAACTAATACCTGTACACAAGCAAGAAATAAACCCATGCAGGCATTAAGATGTGTATGCAGAACTGTAGCACTGTGGAAAAGAAGCTCGGAAGCCTCAGGCTGGACGGGTCAGCGGGAAGAGGTGGAATTCAAAACTGCATACGGCGTGGCCAGGATTATGGTATTAAAAGCTATGCATAAAGTAAAGACCAAAGAAGGACAAAAAAGTGTCGACCAAGGATTTCTCTGCCCACAGGATTAGGGGTGACATTCTGGCCCAGCTTTCCTGTAGTTTCTGAACTTTGAGTTCTGGTACCTGACCTGCTATTTGTAAGTTGAGAACAGTGTGCTTGCCTGGTGGCTCTTACTTCCTGGCCCCTTCTTTCTTGGATCAAGCTGGAGTACACTGACCTCCTCTCTGCCCCCCATTAAATAGCTCAAAACAAGCAAAATCAAGCCAGGTGTGGTGGCACACACCTGCAACCCCAGCACTCTGGGAGGCTGAGGCAGGAGGACTGTAGACTCGAGCCCAGCCCAGGCAATTCGGCAATTTAGTGGGACCCTGCTTCAAATGAAAGATACAGAGGGCTGGGAAGGCAGCCCAGTGTGCAGGCCTTAGGTTCAATCCCAGGGCTGAGCTCTAAAAGGGCCAGGAGGAAGCAGAAGGGAGAGGCCCCACATTTGGGGCTCCCCACACCTCACTCCCCGGCCCCAGGAAGCTGCTGTGTGGAAGCCTTTGGTCAGAGGGACGACAGCTCCTGCTCCTGGAGGCGCCCTGCAGCTCAGCCTGCTGTTTTCCACCTGGAGATTCTCTTGCCTGAAGCTGTGCAAAGACGAGGGACTGCTCAGCTGTGTAGGCTTCCCCTACCAGACTGAGCCCCCTCTCCCCCGTCGCTGCAACTCTGCTACTGGGTCTGAGGCCTTCTTAACGGGGCGCACGAGCCTTCAGAGGAGAGCGGGTGCTCGCTGCACTGCCCAGAGGCGGCTAGCCTGAGGTGGGGACCGCGCCTCTGGTCCCACACTGCCCGGGTCAGAGTCACCAGATGATGGCAGTGTGGTCACCGCATCCCTGAGCCTCTCTGCAAGCACTGAAGACAGGACAGAGTGAATTTGTCCTAAACTTGGCTTCCTCTTGTGGGAACAGGGCCACTGACAGAACCGACTGCCCCTCACTGAACTAGGACAGGCGTGCAGAGCATGGGACAAGATCAGGACTACCACGTGGCTCAATTGGTAACCAGCATGGCTGTCACTGCAGGTTCCACTTGGTCTCCCCCCAACCCCACCACCACCACCACCACCACCACGACCACCACCACCACGCCCGTGGCTCGGCACACTCCCTGCCTTCCATGCTGCCACTTCCTCGTGCATCCAAGGCCCAGCCATGAGTCCACTTGTCATGAGCTTTGCAGGGCGTGGGCAGCTGGACTTGGGCTCCTGCAGCCCTGGCGGCCCAGGCAATGGACAGCTGTGCTGAGCCACCGCCAGGAGGCCCCCTGCATCTGTGTGCGGCAGCTACAATTTATTCACTTAATATCTTTCTTTAAATTGGCTCATTTGTACCATAAATACATTTATTTAAAGAGGCAACTTCCTGTCAGGGCCACACACAGAAAACCAATCTTTTTCTAATACTCATAAAATATGCATAGCAATTAGAGTGACAAATTGCACTGGCGTCATAAGATCCTCTCCCAGCCACCCCAGGGGCGCTGTTCCACCCTGCCAGGCGCAGGCGCCCTGCAGCCCGGAAGCCACAGCTCCTGCGGGACACGCATGGTCGCTGGACAAAGGCCTCCTCACCTGCGCCTCCTCCCTTAGCCCCCCTTGACCTCTGCCCAGCTGGGTGTCAGCCGCCTGCCTTCCTGTAAGAAGTCCTCAGCCTCAAACTGCGCTTGGAAGGTGTGGCTTTCTCTTCACAGATGGAAAGCTGCATAACAGTGCGTGGGTCACGGAGGAAGTCACCAAAACGCTCCCAGCTTCACAGGCTTCTCCCTAACAAGTACAGGTCCAGTGGGGAGCGGTGTGAGGTTGGGTGCTTTTCCAAGCAGTGAGTGATGGGTGCAGTGCTCAGAATATAAGGCGGGTGTGGACACAGCGGAGCAACGGACAGAGGCAGCAGGAGGTGAGCCTGTCACCCGTGGCCCATACGACCCAGGCAAGCCTGGGCTCCTCCCAGGCCTCAGTTTTCCTGATGCGGCGTCAGGAACTACGCATTCTCAGCACCTGATGTGCAGGAAGGTTCCAGAATGGGAGGGGAGTGCGGGAGGAGGCCAGTTCCTCCAGGAAGCAGAGATGGGAAGAACTCGGTCCCACTGTCCCCTCCAGCGTGTCCCCGGTGACGAGCCCCCCTCGCCAGGCGCCACCTCCTGACACCTACCCCTGTGACAGCACTGGCCCTGGGTCTCCAACACAGGGGCCTCCTGGCTGTTCCCAGCCCAAATAGAGCCTGGACGGTGGACAGGTGAGGCTTGTGTCCTCGGCAGTTCTGGGGCTGGGCCCCTGTTGGGGACCTGCTGACCATGTCACCTTTCCCGCTCAGCTTGGAGGAGATACCCGAGGTACCTAGAGCCTCCAGCACCTCCAGATCTTGCTGCAGCTGGGCTCTTGGCTCTGTGTGGAAGTGCTGCAGGTAGCCCGGGAAGACGTGGCTCCATGGAAGAGGGCAAGCAAGGCTCAGCTCCAGCCCCATCCTCACAGGCGTGGCTGACATGAGCAGGGTGTCCACCTCCTGCTGCCTCACCCCAGCCTAAGGCGGGGATAGCAACATGGCAAAAGCCATCGCCCCAAGGATCCATCCCAGCACTGCCAGGGCCCTGTCCATGTCGGAGGAGTGAAAGAGGGCTCCGCTCTGAGCCTGGCCTGGCCCTGGTCCAAGCAGACAGGGCAGTGGGCATGAACTGGCCCCCCTTGCGGAGCACTGTCTGCAGATGAGGGGCGGCTCTCTCAGACCCAGCAGATCAACACCTCAGAGCAGGACAGGCCACTCCGGAGTCAGATGCGAGTGATCTCTTCCCCTTCAGTCTGAAGGCGGCTTCTTCAGGGGCCTCGGGGGCGATGGTGAGGGACTGAGGGCCACGGGTGACACCCACTGCTGATAGCACCTGCTCGTGGGCTGGCATTCAGGGAGCACACAGCTGGCCCAGGGCACAACCGCCCAAAACTGGTGCATGCAGCAGGCTGCCGCGCTGCCGAGCTCAGTGCAGCGTGCAGCTGGTCAGCGAGCCCGCTCTGAAGAGAGCTCAGGACTGTGGTCCCGAGCACAGTGTGGGAGATCTGCTGCCAGGGGGGCTTGTCCCAGCAGAGGCCACTCAGCCATCCAGCCCTGCAGCCAGGCTCTGCCCTTCCAGGGTTGGCCTGAGAGTGAACAGAGTCCCCAGGGAGAGACAGTTCTTGTAGCCTTGATGTCCTCCCTCCCAAATGACATTGCCAGAGGGTGGCACACTGGCAAGGCCACCAGTCAGTCCAAAATATTTGGATAATGTGTGTGTGT